TAGATTTGTCATCTCGATAACGCAGAGAGAAGTAGCTACACCTATAATCAAGTTTGTTTCCGTGTAAACGCTGCAAAAGAGGCAGCTTTTTTGTGCTGTCGATTTGCAGGTGGGGTTTGTGAATGTGAAGCGAGGGATTGGATTCGATTGATGAGAGATCCCTGGAAAAATAACTGGAATTGAAGAGGGATCTTCGAGCACAATTCAGCGACATCGATATTTCCATTTCGAATCGACCTTGATGGAATTGGGTTTCGGTGTTCTGTTTAAACCCTAGCAGTGTTGGTAATGGAAATTGTTGTCCCGCGTCTCTCCTCTATGCTTCCCTTCCGTGACCCAACCACTTTGTTTATCTGGGTTGGGTCACCAAGACAAAAGAAAAATTAAAAAAATAAATAAATAAATAAAATAACAAGAAGTGTGACCAAGGTTGACCTAGGGTCACAAAAGAAAAAAATAAAAAAAAAAAACAAAAAGAAAATTTAACAAAAAGTGTGACTTTGGTTGTGGAATGATTATGGGTCAGTTGTTCAAATTTTATTGAACAAGTGTATTTTTTAAATAACCTAAAAAATAATTTGTGTATTTACAGGGCAATTTGTATTAAAATAAAAATTATTAAATTTATATTTTTTATTTTCTATAAATAGAGACCACATTTGAAGTGTTTTGAAAATATTTGTAATTTACTAATTGTGATTGATGTGTGATTTTATTCAAAGTATTTGTAACTTGTTTAACTATTTAATATTTTGTTCTAATTTTTTGTAACTTTAAATTTTAATTGACAAGGAATTTAGTTTTAATTATACGATAAAATATAATTTTTTCACGCCTAGAACAATAACACAAATCAATTGTAGATAATACTTAATAAATAAATAAATAAAAATAAAATATATATTTTAAGTTGAGTTGGGTTGGGGATAAAGATTCGATGAGTTGTGAAGTTGGATTGTGTAGGTAGATGTGTGAGAAAATAATTTTTAATTGTTAGGTTGAGTTGAGTTGGGTTGTTAATAAGGATAGTCCAGGGAAAAAAAAACCGACAAATTTCTCAATACCGAACCTGACTGAAATCGTCCAGTTCCGAAAAAATAAGGTTCCAAAAGGTTTTTTTTTTGAATTTTTGTACCGTTTTCGGTATCGAACCGTTTGAAACAATATCGGTATCGATTTTGAATATTTTTGTCCTGAACCATCCCGTTTATTCCATTTTATTTTTCTCATACACAAATATTATATATATATATATATATATACCCTCATAACTTATAACAAAATATGAAGTCGTTTACAATGCGACACGTGGCAAACCCTTTTCTCTTATTTTGGTTGCTCATTTGTTTCCTTTTTTGTTCTTCTCTCCGTTTGATTGTTTAAAAAAGATGAGGGTCATTTCGTAATTTTATGTTTTTTTTATGGAAATATTTTTGGGGCAGTATTGTTTTTGTCATTTCTCTGCGGCGTTCCGCTTTTCTACTCCTCTTCGTCTTCTCCGATTACATAATCTGTGCATTTTTGTTTTACCTTTTTTTTCTTTTTTGGTTCGTCGTACTTTGTGATTGCTGAGAATCAATTTCTTCTTGTCGTTTTTCGTTAATTATTTTGCGGTGTTCGGTTTTGAATTTTTCGGTCTGCAGGCGGGATTGTCTTGCTTCGGATGAACATTATTGATTACCTAATTTTTCTGATCTGCAGTCAGGATTGCCTTGCTTCGGATGAACATTATCGATTAGCTAAGTTTTCCCTTGATTATTCATGTCATTGTGTTGCAGATGTTTTTTTTTTACAATTTATGTAGTTTGTTAATGTGAAAATTGGTGTTCTACAATTTTTGCCTTCCTTTAGATGTGGAATGCACTATTAATTTTGTGGATAATATGTAGATGGTTCTTGTATTTTCTTATCTTTGGTGGTGCTGCTTGAAAAATTCTTTGACACAGTAGTTTTTTTTCTCCCTGAACTTGCATCTTGCCCTTTTGGTGGCCTATAAATTTCCTTCTTTTAATAGTTAGCCGTCAATTGTAGTATGTATTATATGCAATAATTACATTGATTTAGGTAGGATATATTAGATGCTACCTATTATTACTATGTGGTTTTTTTTAATTTGTTCTGGTCTTTTTTTATTTTGTTTAATCATGTAGGGTGCAATTTTGTGTCATCATTATTTCTGACATCAGCCCATTATTCACCCGTAACATTCTTTTTTTGTTATTATTCTACTCTTTGGTCTTCTTTTTCCTATAGTTGATCTATATTAATAAGAGATTATGTACTTCTTTTCATTTACTCATTGGCTCTGTAAGTATTTCTTCTTCACTTCATGCTTTGTCTGTATTTATTTTTACTCCCTTTTCATTCAGACATCTCTTTATGGTTTC